AAATGGGGGTGAAGACATTCCACAGCCACCTGCCTCAGTCCTGTGGGATGTGGAATCCACCCTGCACCCCCCAGCCATCCCAGGGACCCCCATGATGGGGTGGGTGGGGGTGATGCAGTCCCTGGCATTGGTATTCTGGATGGGTTGGGGGCACGATGTGCATGGGGGCATAGGGCATGTGAGGTGCATGAGGTGTATGGGGCACATGGGAGAATTGGGGTGCATGAGGTGCATCTGGCATGTGGGTTGTGTGGTCTGCATGAGGTACATGGGGTATACGGGGTCCATAGGGTGCGCGGATTGTATGGCACATGTGGGGCACATGGGGTGCATAAGGTGCCTGGGGTGCATGCAGCACATAGGGCATGTGGATTACATGGAGCACATGGGGTACATGGGGTGCACAGAACATGTGGGTTACATATGGGTAATGGGAGGCACATGGGGTGCACGGGGTGCCTGGAGCATGGTGGGATGCAGGCAGTGCAGTGGGGTGCATGGGATGTATGGGGTGCATGGGGTGCACCCCCCGTCCTGGCCATAGGACACACACAATGTGTGCATAGGACACACACAATGGGGTGTAGGGGATCTATGGGGTGCATGAGGTGTATGCAGTTCATAGGGCACCCACGATGCATGGGTTGTAGGGGATGTATAGGGTTGTTGGGAAAATTAATCTACAAATATTAGAGGTTTATGTCTAAAAAGGAGACGGAGGAGTCTTGCAACTTTATTCATGGGATGTAGGGGATATATGGGGTGCATGGGGTGTATGCAGTTCATAGGGCACACGCAGTGTATGGGGTGTAGAGGATCTATGGGGTGTATGCAGTTCATAGGGCACACGGAATGTATGGGGTGTAGGGGATCTATGGGGTGCATGGGGTGTATGCAGTTCATAGGGCACACAGGATGTATGGGGTGCCTGGAGCTCATGGGGTGCACAGGGTGTGTGGGGTGCTGGTGCTGTGCTCCCCAAGGGTGCCCCGTGGAACCCTCTCCCTTCTTGTCTGTCTCCTCCCCTCTCCCCTCTCCCCTCTCCCCTCTCCTCTCCTGCAGCTCTTCGGGTTCCTCAACTTCCTGCTGTGGGCCGGGAACTGCTGGTTCGTGCTGCGGGAGACGCCGTGGCTGCGGCCGCCCGCGCCCCGCGACAGCGCGGCCGAGCAAGGAGCCATCGACAAGCAGTAGCCCCGAGCCAGCCYGGGGGTCCCGCCCGGCCCCCGGGACCTCGCCAGCCGCCAGCCCGGGGGCGGGGTGTCTCTGGAGCCGCCGGGGGCTCGGATGCTGAAGGGGGACACGGAACYCCGGGGGTCCCCCTTGTTGTCGGGGGCTCTGTGTGTCACCCCGGGGGGGTCCATGTCTGTATGGGGGTGCATAAAGTCCTGGGTACCAGCTCTGGATTGCGGGTCCTGGTGTCTGCCTCGATATGGGGTCCGGGGTGGGGTGCACATGTCCCTGGGCATCCTGGTCCATATAGGGATAAACCGGTCCCCATCTCTGGTACAGGGGTAACTGCGGATCTCAGATCAGTATGGGGGGGTCCCAGACAGGTAACAGGGGACCCCGGACCAGTAAAAGGATAACCAGGAACTGCAGTCCGGTATTGGGATAACAGGGGACACCACTCCAGTATAGGGCTCACCGGGGACCTCAGCCTGGCACGGGAATAATGGTGGGGATTATACATAATATGATATAACATAGCTCCATACAGGGATTATAGGGAACCCCAGACCGGTGTAAGGATAATGGGGGACCCCTGGCTGGTATAGGATAACGGGGATCCCCAGCCCTGTATAGCAATAACCTGGGATCTCAGCCTTGTATGGCGATACCCTGAGACCACAGCCCAGCATGGGAATAACTGTATCAGACCCCAGCCCGTTATGGGRATAACTGGGGTTCGGGGTCCGGTATAGAGATAACAGAGAACCCCAACCGACTACAGGGATATCGAGTGCTCCTAACCTGTTGTAGGGATACCGGGTAGCCCCATCCCGGTATAGGGATAACAGGAGAC